TTATATTATCGTTTTATCCCGGAGGGGAAAACTAGTTTCTAATCCTGAGAGAAACACCTCGCCTGAAACACACGATTAGTGCCATGAGTTAGTGAAGCAAATTACAGAACATTGCACACTTATTCACAAGTCAAAACGTGTTCATAGCGGGCACGGCTGAGAATAGCTAGCTAGCTAGATGTTGTTAGCCAGCTTGGACCTATGATAGCAAGTTCTAGCATGGCTAGCTCGATCTACTGAGCAAATAAAAGTACATCTAAGACCAGTATTGTGCAGATTAAAACAGTGCAGTGCATGTATTTTATTTTACCTTCGTAGTCGTCCCGACATGACAGGTCTGCTAATTTGCTGAGCGACGGAAACTGCATTCAGTAGAAGCTTCTGAATGCGGCGCTTCGCGTCCTCCGAGTAAAGCGCCGAGAAGCGCCGACACATCCTCATCACTCCACCGCTCCGATGATTTATTTAGTGTTGCTATAATAACTGCTTTCACAAAAGTAATCTCTTCGGGTGCGCTGGCCGAAGCGAGCAAATACAATGGCCGCTTCCAAAAAAAAATTCAGAGTCAAACGGGCGTGGTTTGCATTCCGCACAGCCAATCAGACGTACAAACTATTTTCTCCCACGACAGTCCCTGCTCTCTAGCAGGGACTGAAAAGCGGGTCGGACGAACTCATTTGAGCTACTTTAGTTCCTGGGGCTTTTTGGTGTGAACGCAAATATATCGTAGTTCTGATGAACTATTGTGGGAAAAGTACACCAAAGTACTCCGGTGTGAACGCACCTATTGTTACTCTGTTTTTACTGACATGCAACATTTTATTTCACATTGCTATGTTTTTTAACGCACATCCAAAAACGGGAACATTTTCGGGAGTTTCAACCGGGTACCGGCCACCGAAAAAGGGGACTTTGCCCGGAAAACGGGGACGTTTTGGTCACCCATCCGACTGTGTTTACAACTAAGCACACGCTAACATTAATTAAGACTACAAGCTCACTTGGGGTTGAGGCTTTTGTACACGTTGCTTGACTGCCTGCCCACATATCTGATCTAGACATAGTATCGTGTGTTGGGGAAAATAATTATTTAAAGTTATTTAATAATTGTGACATTTATTTAACTTTTCGATGGATGAATGATGCTCAAAGTGAGGGGGCAAATAAGACAACTGAGGGGGCAATGCCCCCTTTTGCCCCCTCGTGGCGCCGGGCCCGGCCCAATGTGATATCTTTTCATGGGGCCCAAAATCCCTGGCGGCGCCCCTGATTGTGTGAGTGTATGGCCAGAGGGCAGGACCTATAAACACATTTACTACCCAATAGCATTGTGAGGCTGAACAAAAGGACCTTTTGACTATGTAAATGTAGTCTTTTAAAAAAACAAAAACATTTACTGACTTTTTTGGATAGCTTAAAGTAATGTTGTAAAATTACAACCGGGGGCCTTACAGGGTTAAGGGCTATTGTTTATTGTTATTTACTTTAAAGGGGACCTATAATGCAAAATCAGAGGTGGGAGTAAGTCCTACATGTGCAAGTCATGAGCAAGTCTCAAGTCTTGACCTACAAGTATCTAGCAAGTCCCAAGTCACTGTGGTGAGAGTCAAGCAAGTCAAGTCAAGTCATTGCTCAGGTCAAGCAAGTCAAGTCAAGTCATACAAAATTCTGATGAATAAGCCCAGTTTCCGCATTTAAATCAGTTAAAAGACAGTGGTTATGAAAATGGATTTAACCCACACTATGATCTTCATTACATACACAGTTAATCATTTGAAATCGAATTTAGACCGATGACAATCATATTAGATTAATATTAACCCTAGAACTGCAGACAATAAAGCTAGGACTCAGTCAAAAAGTCTGTTCAAAAAGGCAGAATTCCAGGTAAGAAAATCATATATGGCATTTGCCATTACACATATTTAATTTAAATGTCTGTTAACACTAGAACCGCCAACAGCATCAGCACCTACATAGATATCATTTTCAAATCATTTAATTTGTTCCTCTTCATAATTTCCTTATAAACTAAGTCGGACGATTTAAAACTCACTTAATTGGGTTAATTTAGAAATTGCTTCAGTTTATCATCATAACAGATCAAAAAGTTCAGATTCATTTTACAATAAATCAAGGAATGATGCACTTCTACAAACAAAAACAACATAATTAAAACATTTAAACAAACTACTAAAAGTAGATGAACTACATTATTCAAAAGTTTACAGTAACTTCTGATAATAACACAGGGGAAATAAACGAGGCATCTCTTTTCCTCTCTCTCCCTCTCTCCCTCTCTCTCTCTCTCTCTCTCTCTCCCTCTCCTGACAGCCCGTCAGTATCAGGGTTAGTCAAAATGAATCCCTTGGCGGTTCTAGTGTTCATTTACCGTTTTGTCTTCTCTTTGCAATGCTTAATTGATTTGAAACCAAGTCGAACGTAGCTTAAAATTAACGTTAGCTTCCTAGCTAACACAACACATTCACGCACCTTACTCTGTGGGTTTTTTTGTAGTGACGAATGAAGTTGGATGTTGTGGTGGTCCTGTCACTGATCTTTATGCTGCAGACCCTGCATACCGCTGTTCTCTTCTTATTAGCGTCATCGACAACATAATCCTTGAATCCAAACTTCACTATTTTTGGAGTAACGCTAGCCGCTGCCATGTTAACTGACACACCTGCCGTCTAGTGGGTTGCCAGGTTTGGCAACTATAATCACCCAATCACGTTTTTCGAAAAAACTATACGTAATATCTCACTACAAAAACAAACGCAAATATTTAATTTTAAACAGTCAAGTCCTATCAAGTCATCTGTCTCAAGCTTAAGTCAAGTCTCAAGTCATGAATACCAAGTCAAAGTCAAGTCAAGTCTTTTATCAATGTTAGTCAAGCAAGTCTCAAGTCAAAAAATATGCGACTCGAGTCTGACTCGAGTCAAGTCATGTGACTCGAGTCCCCACCTCTGTGCAAAATGCACTTGTGTACGTCTTTTATACATGAATATGTGTCCCCGGTGTTCCAGGGAACTCACCAAGTGTCAGAAAACACAACCCTCTCTATTTTCCTCCATACCCAAATCTCTAAAAAAGGGGCTGCAACGGATCTGATAAAAACTGATCCAGATTTGAACACTGTCCTGACGTCAGGACAGTGGCGCTACGGCTATTGGGCCAACTCCACCAATCAGGAGGAGACAGCCACGGCCATTGCCGTTCGAAAGCGCTGGAGACCCTGTAGTACATATGCCAGGCCAGTAAATGGTGCTGTTCTCACTGAATCGTCAGTGTCAAATTGAGCAAAATGAGGCATGGCTAAAATGCATGATCTGTTTGGTATTTTGAAAAAATAAAGTATAAATATGCCTTATATAGGTATGGTCCTACACTATATTATTCAAATATAGCATGATAGGTCCACTTTAAGATGTTTATTCTTAACCAATAATTTTATTTAAAAACTCTTATTTAAATTATGTGTGTGTGTCTCTGTATTCCTGATGATACACTGAGAGAATGAGCTCATTGGGCTGCTGATCACCATAAGCTAAACAGTCTGTATATTGTACTACATTTGTATAATAATAAGCTTCGTTGATACTTTGCCTGCGGGAATAAGAAAAAAATAGTTAGATATACTGGATATTATTTGATCTATTCCACCACTAGCTTAATCCCAAATAATGTAGAGGTGTGTTGTAGGTGCCTTAAATAACCCCTTATTTTCTAATGAGATGTCTTTTTATGTTCATATAATAGTGATTTCAATGCCACCCCAAAATGATCACTGGTTCCATCCTGGCCACCCCACTGAAAATGTCCTGGCTCCGCCACTGTGTGTCAGATGTATCCTTCTGCGAATCCTGATAAACAAGAAATGAATTAGAACGTTATTCTGATGTCACCAATGCCTGATGTAGTACAAAGAATATCTTCACAAACAATTATCTCAGTCAAATCTCATTAAAAAACTTAAATTGAAGTTCTTTACTAACCACAAGTAAAGCATTTATACACATATTTGTAGCCATCTCCAAAATGTTAAAACTGCCATTGGGATTATTAGGTTAAGATTCACTGTCGGAGGACACTAGCCCTGGCCTTGATAAATGGGCGCGTTCCTAAAGGTTTTCTCCTCAACAGATATATATATATAGACTGTATATCAGTTTAAACATTTCACTTGTCAAACTCAAACAAGTTTGCCCCTTGTATGAGACATTTATAACCTGGTTGAACTAGCTTTAAAAACTAGCTAACACGTGGCTAAACTTGCTAACCAATAGCCCTATACAAAGACCTTATGTGAAGCCAACATTACATATGCAAAAATGTCAACGTTTCACTAGTCAAACAGAAACAACAAAGTTAGCCCTTTGCATGATACATTTATAAAAATGATCTGGTTAAGCAAGCCTTAAAAAAGTACCTAACACGCGGCTAAACTTTGCTTACACATAGCCAAATACTAAGACAGGCGGTAAATTAGTTAACTATCTTGACACTAAATGTACACTGAAAAAAACTAATTCACCTTTAAAACAACACCATTTCAAATCCTTACCTTATTTAAGTGTTCCTGGATCGGACCTTCTCACGGACAGCGCGGTGTAGTGGGTAGTGGGTTAATCTTGCAATGACCTTGCTTTGTCCACATCATGTGGTCATGTGACATTCTTTGAAGTGAAAAATCATGCTCAAAAAAGAAACCACGATCTCTAATTAGACCATTTAAAAATGTACTTTGATTAAATGACACAGTCGTTTAGTTTTTTTAGTGCAAGACAACATTCAATCACTCCAATGTCAATCAGTTGTTATTCTCAGTCTTTATTTTTTGTTGGATTGCTTTCTCTTTGATTTAAAATGAGTTTAGTTTATGTTTTTTTTGTAGTTTTAGGTAAACCACACCTGTCATCATAGAGCTCATTTTCCTTTTGGTGTGCACTATGTATACATGAATGTGCTGTGCTGTTTCTCTCTTGTTTGCTGCACAGCCATCTTGTACCAAGTGGACCACCTTCACCCAAGAAAATCCCCCCTTGGCCCTCTGACCTTTGCAAAGGATGCAGGTGAGAGCAAACACTGTCCATGCTTCTCCTTGAAGGGACCTTTCTGTTAATGCCTTCATCAGATCTAGTTATTACGAGGGGTCACACACCTGACTTTGTGTGTGTGTGTGTGTGTGTGTGTGTGTGTGTGTGTGTGTGTGTGTGTGTGTGTGTGTGTGTGTGTGTGTGTGTGTGTGTGTGACAGGGCGATCATTGAAAAAGTAAGAGAACGCTACTCAAAAACTTGGAAGAAGCAAGAACACAATTACAGAAACCTCAGGTAATTGTATTTGTTTACAGAATTGTAATTAATAGTCCATGCAGGCAAAGATTTGTTGTTTCTCAGCGGAAGAGTATAAATGCTAAACATTGCCACAGTTTGGGACTATTCAGTGAGTTGGTTTTAAAAGTAGTTAAAAGAAACGATCCATGAAGCAACGCCCAGGAGTGCCACATCATTCAACAATTTGCATCTGAATCCATTGGTTTTCTTATGTAATCAAAAATCTTAAAAATGTATAGCACGAGTCAGAGAGTTTGGTAAAACAGAGCAACTTCACCTGAAGATAACTTTAACTCACCTTGATGATTATGGAATTAAAATCCTTATAAGAAAGAAGATACGTTTTAAATATAATCTGAACTAATTGCCACTTACTGTGTTTGGCAACTTATAAAGCTTTCTGTTCAACAAAACTCCTGACTTGGATGTTTTTAACAAAGTCCTTGTGTTACCACAGCTCTCAGCTGAGAAGTCAGTGCCAGGGATTTGACAGGGCCATCATTACCCAGGCCAACACTCCAGTGGAATCAAATATTGTGTACGCTGCGGAAAACAAGAAGAGCCTCAAGGTGACTCCAGGAATTTTCAGCACCTTCATAAAGGTATGTCGTTTTTCATTCATGGATAGTATCACAGCATCTTCTGCTTGTTGTCTTTATTGTTCCTTAAATGGCTCAGAGATTATAAATGATGTGTTTAGTTACATGGTGACTGGTTGATACAAACGACCACCGATGACCACCCTTTTCAAAAACACACACACACTCACGCACACACACAGAATTATGATTTTCTATAAAAAAACTGAGATTTGAAGTGAGGACCTCTTAATCTGACCAATGCTAAAAAAACACTACAATCTTATTTCAATATACAGCATGACCTGCTTTTAATGATATATTTGCACATTTGTAAATGTGAAATAGTTCTAGTTTTTAGAAAATTGGTACTGACTCGGTTTTTGATTTTCATTCATTCTCAAATTTGTAACTGGCTTCACACCAGAAAAAAGAGCACCAGTTTACAAAGTTTGCATTTATTTTGATATCAACTGTCTGATCCATGGAGACAACAACTTTGTCAGGACTAACCGGAATAGTTCAGAAAAAAAAACAGTCACAGATCCAGAGTAAGCCCTAGATTCCACCGGGTCCGTCTGCATCGCGTTACGGCCGCGTTACAGCTGCGCCGCGGCGTTCCAAAGATCGCGTTATGCAGCGTCCACACGTGGCGTGCGTTGAAGCTTGCCGGCGGGCCTGTCTGAAGCTCGACCAACAACCAATCACATGAATCTCCCGCCCCAGACACACAAGCACGCGGTTTGATTGGCTAGAGCTTGTACTGGCATATGATTTGATTGGCTGACGCTTCCGTCGAAGCTTCAAAAGTTTAACATTGCTCAACCTTTGAAGCGAGCAACGCGAGCAAAGCGAAGCGACGCTCCCACAATGCAGTTCGGCAAAGCGTGACGTCACCCCATTCAAAGTGAATGGGCAGAAGCGGCTCAGAAGCGTCCCAGAAGCATCTCAGCGCTGGGCTCCGCTCAAAATAGGATGCAAGTCTATTTTCGACGCGACGCGAGGCATTGCAGAGGCGCCGGGCAGGAAGTGGACCGGTCAGAGCATCCAGTCAATCCCCAAAATAAACAAATTTTGCAGACCCTATCCCTCCGTAGTCTTTCAAGTAGGAGGAGAAATGCCAGCGTTCTCCTCCGGTTTACAGGCACTGTGTAAATTATATATATAGAATAATTATGATGATGAATGTATTTTTTTACCACTAAAATACAGCAACACATCTTTGATTCATGTCGTTTATAACTGGAATATTACAGTTATTATTAACTTTGTCTGTACAAAGTAGCCTGTCCAGGAAATATGCCCAAATCAACAAAAACTGCGAGCCGGCACGCAAGACGCTCCACTTCTGAAATGCTCCTGAAACGCGCCCGGTAGGGTATGACGCCGGGGGAGGCCGGACCAAAACCGCGGCGCAGCCGTGACGCGACGCAGACGGACCCGGTGGAATCGAGGGGTACGTTTCAGGTTTCAGGTTCCAGGAAACAGCCCACTGCTCCTGATACTGGGATGGTTTAAATACAGAGGCTACATTTCACTGTGTGAGATCAGCTGAGATGCCAAATCCGGCCAAGGGGCGTAAAGTTGGGGCCCCTTCCACACGTCCAAACCCCCTACTACCTGCGCCCTAGCTCAAACCGTAGCTTCAAACTCTCTTATTTTGATCTCAGATACACAATAGTCAGTCATTTTTGAGAATTGTGCGCTGTTTCAGTACGTTTAAAATCGTAAAAGAATGTAGGAAATCAATAACACAACTCAAACACCTCAATTGTACATTAAATAAATACTCACACACATGTTAACACATGTTGGTACTGTTGTAAGGGATTTGAACAAGATCCAGACAAAGATCCCCATGGCTCTTACTCATTCACAAACATGATATAATCATATGCATGTTATTGTTCTGTAATACATTTTTTCATTGGTTTTATTTCCAGGAGAATCCATTTCCAAAGAAAAAATGGGACACGTGTGCTGTTGTTGGGAACTCAGGGATTCTGACAAACAGCAGCTGTGGAGAGATGATTGATTCGGCTCAATTTGTTATCAGGTGAGAAAGCTGTCAAGATCAGAGGACTGAAAGGCTGATTGCGACATAAATCAACAGAATAATTCCAAATAATAATTTCTGACTCGTCTGTTATGCCTTTTCAGGTGCAACCTACCTTCTTTGGGAAAAGGCTATGAGAAACATGTGGGCACCAAGACTGACCTTGTGACAGCCAACCCAAGCATTTTGCTGAATGAGTGAGTAAATAAATGAGTCTCACTGCACCAATAGAGTGTTCCCTTGGTGTTGTTGCTTGACTGCTTGACATTTGTGTCTTTTTATTTTCAGGTATGGAGGACTAATGGGGCCACGCCGTCCATTTGTGGAGAGTCTACAGAGCTACGACAAATCCATGATGGTTCTTTCCCCCTTCTCCTATGCACACACCACTCTGGTGTGCCTGAGGGCAGTATACAGCATTAGGGACTTTGAAAGTCCCATTCAGCCCATGTTCTTCAACCCTGATTACTTCCGGAGTCTGGCCCTCTTCTGGCGCTCCAGAGGCCTACGCAGAGGCCTACTCAGCACCGGCTTAGTGATGGTTAACATAGCGCTGGAACACTGTGCCAACGTGCATCTGTACGGTTTCTGGCCCTTCAGTAATCATCCATTTGAACTCAATGCGGTGAATAACCACTACTATGATGATAAAAAAGCTATATGGGCTGTCCACTTCATGCCTGATGAGTTTGACCTCTTGTTGCGGCTGCACAGTCAAGGTGTGCTCAGGCTTCATCTGGGGAACTGTCGACCGGGTAAAAATTAGTTCCCAGGTCCAGAGATAGAGGAGACTGGGCATCTGGAGAATCGGGACATTTCCTGGTGGACTGAGGGTTGATTTCAGAATTTGTCTCTAAACTATGCCTTTTCAATCCAATCCACTCACTCGCCCCCCATATCAGCTCCTAGACCTAGACCCTCTGAGCAGAGGGCTAAACCAGAAAGTGCAATAGAATATATTGTCACTTACACCAATTAATACATTTGATAAATAATTATGATCGGGGGTATTAGAAATGCAACCTATCACTTTTAAATTATACGGATTTTATTGAAAAAACGAAATAACTAATCAAAGATTTTTTTCAAATTAATACTAATTCATCGGACCCTCACAACATCTGGGAAGCCTTTAAGTGTGTTTTTAGAGGACACGCTGTTAAGATGGGGTCATGGAAACAAAAACAATATTTGATAAAGGAGAAGAGTCTAATAGAGGAGGGGAATGAATTGACTAAAACGTTGGATGAAAAGCAATTGTTATGCATAGAAACAACTTATTTGATAAAAAATAAACAACTAGAATTGGAAAATGTATACTCTGCGTGTAAATGGTATAATTTATAGATCCCGTGCCACATGGATGGAAAAAGGGGAAAAGTGCACGGCTCATTTTTTAACACTCAACCAAAGAAATTCTGCCAAAAAAAACATTATGAGCTTGTATACTCCAAATGGTACTTTACTTACATCTCCACAGGAAATATTAGCCGAAGAGGTGGATTATTTTAAAACCTATTATGCTCTGGCTCCAGAGTCTCCTGTAGGATCCAATATTGAGTTATTTTTTCAAAATAATTATGATCAGATACTGTCAGTAGATCAGCAACTAAGTTGTGAAGGAAACATTTTAGAAGAAGAGTTACTGGATGCTATTAATTCCTTCGCTCCTGGTAAATCACCAGGGATTGACGGTATGCCTGTTGAAGTTTATAAAACACAGAAATTAGAAAACCTCTATTGGCATCTTTTAACTACTCCTTTACACAAGGAATATGATCAGACACACAGAAAGAGGGCATCATCATATTGTTACTGAAGCAAGACCCAGAGGGGCATTACAAGAATCCTGTTTATATGAAGCATTGGAGACCACTGATACTACTTTGTTGCGATACCCGCATTCTGTCCAAAAGTATTGCACCGAGAATCAAAATAGTAATTGGGAATATAATAAAACATGATCAAACAGGTTTTATAAAAGGCGTTTTATTGGAGATAATATTCACCATCTTCTTGATATGATAGATAATCACGAAGAGGTTGGAAAACCAGGGCTTTTATTTATTGCTGACTTTGAAAAAGCCTTTGATACAGTAAGATGTGATTTCATTCAAAAATCCCTCCAATTCTTTAATTTTGGGGAAACCATTATACCGTGGGTGAAGGTTTTATATAACCAACCTACCAGTGAAATAGTTAATAATGGATATTTATCAAAAAGCTTCAGCCTGTCCAGAGGCATACGTCAAGGGTGTCCACTGTCTCCATATCTGTTTCTATTATGCATTGAAATTCTTGCTATCAGAATTAGAAACAATTCATGTAGAACAGGCTTAAGATCAAATGGTATTGAAACAAAAGTAACATTATATGCAGATAACTTTCTTTCTACAGCCTAAAAAAAACTTCATTAGATGCCCTCATAGCTGATTTAAATAACTTTTCAAAATTAGCTGGCTAAGGCCTAATTTTGATAAATGCTGTATTATGGGAATAGGAACATTAAGAGGCACATATTTCGAGCTACAATGCTCAGCTGCAGTCAAATGGTGTAATGGTTCAGTGGATGTTCTGGGAATCCATATTCCAGAAAATCAAAAAGATCTTAAGGTACATTTTGAGCGAAAAATGCAGAAAACTGAGAAAATAATACAACCTTGGAAAGGGAAAACTCTCTCATTACAGGGAAAGGTTACATTAATTAATGCTCTTGTGATTCCCCAGTTTGTTTATCTCTTAATTGCACTTCCCTCCCCAGAGGCGTCCTTTTTTAAAAGCTTTGAACAACGAATGTTTAAGTTTATTTGGAATAATAAGCCTGACAAGATTAAAAGGCAATACATATATAATACACTTGAAAATGGTGGACTAAACTTAAAAAAATTGGCAGCAATGAATTCATCCTTAAAAGCATCTTGGATTAATAAGATTTACCATAATAGTCTTTGGAGAACAAGTCAGAACTTATTTTCGGCATTTATATTTTGACTGTAAACTGTTTCCTTTTTTCCAATTAAAATCTCACCACTTTGAATGTTTATTCAAAGAAATGAAGCTCAGCGCAAGTTCTTTCAGGAAGACTGGGTATATATACACTCACTCCGCAGCTGCTTATAATCAGCTCATTTCACCTATTACATTTCACCTAATTCTCCAGCAGCCAATCACCGTGCTGCAGCCAAACTTTAAAATGGTTCACCTCTCTCCTGCAGTCAGCTGTGATTTCAGGTGTTCATGCTGCCGCCCGCCTCCTCCCCATCCACCTCCTTTCCTCATATCCAGTGCCAGGAGAGCTAATCCAAAGACCTCATCACACCTCCTCTTCATCCCATCTCCTCATCAAATCCAGATCTTCAGCATCACCACCAGTGTCTAGACCCCGGGGGGTTACCTATATGCTCACGGCTGCATTTCCCCCTTTAGATATACGATTTCAGGATCGTGGTCTAATCGCCAAAGACTTAACATTTATCACATGACATGTATCAATAAATGTTCTTTAAACAAAACAAAGTCTCTCCTGATTGAAATATTAGTAGAAATCTCACCATTTGTTAAAGATGCATTGAAGGCTTGGTTGAGTTTCCAGTATTACCCCCCAGATACACCAGAAGAAATCCTAAATCAATTAATATGGTTTAACTCAGAAGTTTTAATAGATGGGAAACCACTATTATGGGAAAGTCTCCTGAGAAAAGGAATTATTTTTATGAATGATTTACTAGATAGCACAGGTAATTTAATGTTATATCAGTGTTTTTGCTGTATGTATGGTCAGATATGTGATTTCCTTCATTTTAACCAGCTGCTTTCAGCTATTCCAACTAACTGGAAACGTAAATTAAAAAAAGATGGAAAAAGAAGCAAACTGCCTGTTGCGTGTGGACGGAAGACTTTTTTGATAACGATTGCGGTCCGTTTGCGTTATCGTCCTCGTGTGGCTCCAGCCTAAGTTTCCTTTACGTCTTTCTTCTAATGATTGAAGACTGCAGCCTGCAGCTGATCATCTTGTTAAACAAATTTGGAGCCAAGAGAACAACCCAACCAGGACACTCGTTCTAGTTCAGCATCCTGACTTCACACCTTTGAAGTGTGATGGTTTGTTTACTTAGTTACTAGTCAATAGATGCTGGGCAAAGTCTCAGATCCTTTCCAGAATCAAATGTATAGATCATGATCATATTGTGCTAGCTTTTTAGATGTGTTACCCCTCCCTTAATGATGCAAGATACAAAAGGTAAACGAGATTGCAAAGCAATAGCCTATTATAATATTTATATTTCATGGCTTAAAATCTGCATCAACTCGCTCACATTATAAATTAATTTGGGTTAAAGCCTTTAACAATATTAATGTGAATAAAAACAGCAGTGATAATGATTTTGTTGCCTTGCGATGTCACATAGGGCTAGAGTGCTGGTAACGAGTGGGATTTTGGTTTGAATCCAGCATGAGAAGTTTTGTTATTTTTATGTTGATAGGTAGGCTACTGGATAATATTTTTGTTAGAAGATGCATTAGAATCTCCGCTGAAACCAAAATGAATAATCAAGCATTGGAACATTCTTAAGTCGGAATGTCCCCGTAACCCCGCTAATAGCATTTATGTCGCTATCGTTGGAAAACAAGAGTTAACAGTCCCATCTAATCTGGATAAGTGCTGCAAAGTGTAACGTTTTGATGAGAGGGATAAAGCTATGTACAGTAGGCCTTGTTTTTAAAATAAAACATGACTGCTGGGCTACAAAAGTGGTATCACAATTTAATCGGAGTAGATCACAGCTTCCCGCAGCTGAAAGACTAAACAACGTGTGCGTCACTAATATACTGTCTGAATGTGTGGACAGGCATCAACCCTATACAGTAGGCATCACATTAAGAATGATGAACAAACTGTAGTTTTAGTAGAAGGAAAAAGCAGTAATATACCAAAAAAGTACCTCAATTCAACTTAAGTTTAATACTTGTTTAATGTACTTCGAGATTAAAAAAAAACATTGAAAGAAGATCAAAAATGCGACGCTGGCTTCAGCCGCTGTGATGGCTCACAGCTGGAGGAGGCCCATGTGGCTGCTATTATTCCGAGTGAGGGGTGCAAGAATCAGAGAGCCACTTCAAAAGCCTGCCTGACTATGGGGAAACAGACCGGAGTCATAGGGGGAAAAGCAGCTTACGAGACCCTTCCCACGCCAAGAGCTGCAGCTGCCAACTCAGCCTCCACCTCAACATGTCTCCTGTCGGCCCCTTCTCTCTCCACGGCCTCCAGCCTGGGCCCGCTCTGAGACATATAATACTCCAGCCAAAGGCTTACAGAGGACACTCTCCGAAAGTCCTAGTCTTGACCATCACTCATCCCTAATTTGAGACGGATAATTACCATATGTGGGACTCAAATCCTCCCTCCATGTTACTGTTATAGTGCAGCCAGAGAAGTCTCTGTGTGAGCACACGGCTGTTTGGAAATCCACCGTGTCAGAGTGAGAGCCCGGAGAGGCTTAGCGGCAGTATTCTGGTCTTAAGGTGAGGGCAGATGGTCTCTAAGAAAAGGAAGGGTGATGAGGCAGGCAGTGGGGGTCCTGGAGCTGGCTTTTTTGGGGGGGGGGGGGGGGTCCAGGAGCGTGAGGGCTGTCACAGCTGGACTTTTTCTACATTTTATCTGACCTCAAGTCTTGATCTTTCTATCCTTCCACAGCACACATGTTTTTTTATTATATAATAAATCAGTGTGTGGCATGACACCTTTCTGTGGAAGGAAGGGTCCGATGTTAGTGAACCCCTCATGTGAGGAGCTTGGTCCACATCTTATCCCATATTGCATGCAGATACACACTCACGCTACGCATCAATTTGCATGTCTGGCGATCAAAATGGGCTTTCTATTATTGATGTCCTGCTGGTCTGCTGAGACTGCGAGGTGCAGAGAGGAGCTTGTGTGTGTCATTTGTGAGCAGGTGGGTAAGCAGATTTCAAAATGCTGATTTAGAAATGCAGAAAGAGCTGTAATCTATCCACATCTAGCCAAAAGAAGAGGCTTTTTTTTCTGACGTACTGCACTTGATGTCTTTCTTTTCCTCGTACTGCGTCTCTGGGTCAGCCTTATGGCGCAGTTCCACTACAGCGCGGAGCTCGCTTTAAGCGTGCCGTGTCGTGCCGTTCCCGTTTTTGGTTGCGCTTCCACTAGGCCTAGTTCCGGCCCGGCCCGGCCCGGGGCCACTTTTTCACGTCTTTTCTGGCCCGAGAAAATTGTGGTTCTATCGAGGCCAACAAACAGGGCTGAGTCGGGCTGAGTATGCTAAACTAGAGAGAGGAGCGCTGGCAAGGGGGCTACAACTACAACAAGATGGACATATTTGACCGTGATTTAATTGTAATACACGTTTCAAAATGATGCCGAAGTAACAACATACTGATACCGGTTAGTAAAAACCATGAATTAATGCTTTGTCAAGTCTGCAGACAGACGGCAGGCGAAAAACCTTTTAAAATGCGTGTTTTTCTAGATGGAGATTGGCTAAGCTAACGCAGTATATGCTCCGACCGTCCACACTCACAACAACGGCCTATACAGACATAAATAAAGCAGCGACTGTATTCACCATGACACAGGCAGTCTGTGGTGTGTACTTGTTTAACTTTTGTCGAGTTTCTGAACATATATAAGGAGCTGTGAGTGCTAACAGCTAACGGCTGTGTTGTGTTTCTGGAGTTCTCATTGAAGATGACGTCACGGCTCCGCCTACACTGCGTTACTATAGTAACTACCCCAGTTCCTAAACTGTAATGGAAGCGCAGCATGAAGTGAGTCGGCCCTGTTAAGGCCAAGCCGTACCGAGCCGTACCGAGTGTGGCCGAGGCCGACCGTGTAGTGGAAATGTGCCATTAGTCACTGACACACAGCCTCAGGCAGTGCGTGCGTCCCTGTGATTGACTGAGCCGGCCCCGATCTGAATGAGGCGACGGGCCCCGATCTCTCTCCCTTGAGGGCCAGCAGGAGACGGGCTGGGAGCATCCAGAGACTTCCCCTCGGCCATTACATAATCACTCACACAGCCCAGCGCCTTGTAGGCCAAACTACAAGTGCTACAACTAATCACTCCATTTATTCCAACTTAGCCCCATCTGAGCTTCTTTCTGCCCTCCCTCATTCTTTCATATCTCCTCTGTTTCAATCCGCTTCCCTCAAGTTATTGAGTCTCTCCATTCAGTAAATGTCCGTCACCCCCCTCTGCACACATACTTTAACTCTGAGGAGTGTAGTAGTGTTGCCAGATCTTTTCAACATCATGTACTTGAATCCTCTCTAGAGTGTGGCAACTACTTGATACAGTTGCATTTAATGAAGGATGGTTTTCCTACTGCCAAGAGCCAAAAAAGACACAATGTGCAAGAACTCTGTCTCTCTTTCTAGGTTGATTTAATATAATGAGTAACTTTATTTGCGTTCGAGGCCTCAGATGTTATAAGAAAATTGTCGCTGTCTGGGCCTGATAGTGTGAAATGTGTCCGGTTCGCACTCGGGAGCCATGGAAAATGTGGACTTTGAGCTTATAGGTTGGTATGTTGGCATATGCTCAAGCTTGTATGAACACATACATGACTGCACGCCTGTGATTACGATGTCGATGTGGGTGATGAGGGAGGGATATTTGGATATTTGTGTACTTGTGAATGAGATGTGTGAGTGTTTCTGCTGTTCTGGTTGTGTTTGGCTGCCTGTTGACACAGAGGCTCCTCTGGCACTCCTTTGAAGGGGGTTGCGGGAAGGTTGAGAGGGAGGTTAGGTTGAGGGTTAGAGCTGTAAATTCCCCCTTTCTCCGCGACAGGAGGAGTCCTCTTTGTCTGGCCGGACAACTGGCACGAGGGGAGGAAACAGCTGACTGGGCAGCACAGCCGGGTTTCCTCACTTTACTGCACAGGCATTGTGAAACTTGATCAAAATGTTTCGATTAGCCTGAAATGAATGAATATTAGACACATCATTTCTAATTGCTCTCTTCTCTCAATAAGAGATGATATTTCAGAGTCTGAGGAACTTTGATTACATGGCCACAAAATTCCACAAAATGTCAGTGATGCAGTGT